TTTGCCTAGGATATTTGAACGCGTTTGCGTCTGCGCACCCAACAGTGCCCACACGTACGTTCGAATGGAGTCATTCAAGCGTTCGGTGCCGGCACGAGTATACCCTTTCGATTCCAACATGAATTTTTTCCAATCACCCCCCCCTGCTCGAACCTCCAAACTCGGTAATCCTTGCTGTCGTCGAATGCCATGTAACGGTCATCCCACTCGTTGGTCGTGATACGACTTATATCCCCAATCTTTCAACTTCTCGCTGGCTTCCACGAGAGGCATGTTGTGAACGATAGGAATACCCAATCCGTGGTTCGGTCCAGGCAAACGCCAATCCGTTTTAGTGTCGATTCCGAATTCGTTGCAAATACGTTCGTAGGCCCGTCTATCGTACTGGTTGTTTACTGCATTCCACGCTTTTTCCTGTGAGAGCGGAGCGCTGATCTCTTTGAGGATACGCCTGACCTGGTAGTACACGTGAAACGTGAACACAGACTGACTCAGCGGTCCACGCCGAGTGTCGGATACACCACACCCCGTTGTAGCGCACCACACTGCGAAGTTGAGTTGATTCTGCCAGAACTGCATAGGGTTGTTGAACCAAGCGTGCACTGTCTTAGCGTTAGTCACCGAAAACTTATACTTATCGAACACATCTATGAACTGGGCGTCGAAATACAGCCCATCAGCGACCACGATCTTCATGTTTTAAAACTATTATATAATGAGTTTATATAACATGTACATAACACTTCCAGGAATAACTAGCGGTGAGGCCGTTCAGCTGACGCACGCGATCGATAACACGTCGGGTCAACTCGAGGTAGCGCTCTGCGATATATCCTACCTGCCGCGATGGACTAACATCAACGCTAGCAACAATAAACTGTTCGTAGGTGGTACCCGCAATCAGATAACTGACGGATACTACAGCGTGTGCTCTCTAAGCGACGAGGTATTCAAACCACTGGGAGCCGAACTCAAGATGAACGACTCAAACGGTACAGTAGTGTTAATCAACAACGGAAGAAACCCCTTAAAACTCATTGGCTAGAACACTCGGTATGCAGCCTGACGAGGTAAAACCAACGACTACAGTCACAGGCGCGAAGTTACCCGACCTAGTACCGTACCGAGAGCTGTGCATTCATCTCAACCAGGTTAGCACAACGGACAATATTCAAGGAGGCCACCCTTCCACTATACTTAGAGCAGTGCCGGTTAAAACGGAGAAATACAACGACGGCAGAACCGAGTCGTTTTCAACGTGGCAATATAAGAGGTTAACCCAAGGTAATATCCCTGAATTGATAATATCGGTGTTAGATATAAATCATAATCTCGTGAATATAGGATACCTCAGCGTAACACTGCACATAAAATGACCAGCGCACAAGGCCCCGGAATGAAGTTGAAAAAATGCGTCAATGTGGGGATCTCCGACCTCGGGGACACACGCGGATTCGACGACCCCGGAGTAGATGGTAAATTGTATGCTTTGCAACTAAAAACAGCATTTACAAACGCGCGTTGAAGTCCCCTCCGGTGGTACTAGCAATCTAAGCGATATAGTAGATACCTCAAGAGCGGTCGTCAACACTAAGTACACCCTTGTCAACACAGGTGATGACTGGATAATATACCCATCGTTCGGAGGTAAACTGTTCGACTTAGACGATGTTGAGAGAACTACCATCGCCCGAAACAAGCCATATACGCTAGTCTTCACCGACGATGACAAGTGGGTGTTATTACCCGATAAAGCCGACTGGATTCTCAATATTAAGCTCGGCTCCCCCTACGTGTTCACGGATAATAAAGACAACTACCTAAACAAAGTCGTTAACAACGGAACCCTGCTAGTGGCTTACGTTCCGGCTCAGAGGCGTAGCGTAATCATCAGTCCAGTCGCCAGTACACCATCCCACATGCTATCGAGTAAACCGAGTATGCAAAACGTGACATTGCAGTTGGTGTCTGAATTCGAAGGCGTGATCAAGATCCTGGAGAGTATACCGGCGAACTCAACACTTATCATTCAAGTATACCTAGGAGAACCATCGCGGAATGATGTAGAGATCGTGAAAGGGGTAAAACTCCGGTTGGGGAAACAACAACAGTATCACGTTTGTAACGTTTACGTGCGGGTGGGTGTCAACTCCAAAACCAGTCTGCAGGGAGTCAACGTGATCGTGGAAGACGTGATATCACTAACCAAGATATTCCTACCCGACAATATACATTTTATGGGGTTGTACTTCACCCCTGAACTATTATCGGAAAAACAGTTGGAAATTATATCGTAATAGTATTATAGCAATGTCTTGGCTTCGTCCCAACACTACGCTTAACGACTTAGGGGATACGGAGGGATTCGATCAGGCTGGTGAGGAAGACACCTTATACATCCTACACTTGAAAGACAACGTGTATAGGCGGGTGTCGCTATCAGATTTTAAAGAGCCCAAATGGATAGTCAACTTAACACTCGCCTCACCTTATATCACATCAAAAGAAGATGGGTATATCTATGAAATTAAGAATAGCGGTACCGCGCTCGGGTGTTTCGTTCCGGGACCAAATACAAAGATTATACTAAGCCCGGTTTTACCTAATATGTTACTATCATTCATCGGGGGTGAGTTACAGTATAAATGCTACAGAACCCGATCGAATATTCCAGTTGTGTCACCAGGCTCCACACTCATCATAGAAGTCTATATCACTAGAGTTAATAATAATAATCTAGACCAACAACTTGTACCCGGGGTGATAATACACTGGAATCCCCAGAACCATAGTGAACGTCACCGCACCATCGTCATACAACCGGACCCCTCAACGGGTTCTATAACCCCCTCAATAATCCCCTCCGAGGGGGATAGTGTGGATGCAAAGTTACCTATTAACTTCTCCACTATTCTCCTACATGAGGATTCACACCTTATAAGTCTCAAGTACGTTGATCGAAGGTTAAATGAAACCCAATTAAAATATCTTTTGTAATATATATTATAGGATGGGACTGTACCCAGGCGTAGATGAAGTAGTGAAGACCCTGGAAACCGTAGACGGGTTCCGCTTGAGACAATTATGCGATGTAAGACGTGAATTAGAACAAGATCGTGATAAGCGGAAAGCACTTTATAAGAAGTACCATAGAGCTTTCAATGCCGTGGATGGTGTTGATACCACCCTTATGACAACCAGCATGGTGACAGGTGTTGGGTTATTAACCACCATCGTGGCTGTACCTATAGTGATGGGACTCGAAATAACGGCTGGGGTGACAGGGGTGTTAGGTTTGGTGCTTAAATTTGTATCCCGTAGACTGCATCGTAAAGCATTGAAACACGATGAGATAAGGGTTCTGGCTGAAGCGAAGTTAAACACGGTGAGTGAGCGTATTTCCACGGCACTCGCTGATAGTAAGATCTCGGAGGAGGAGTTTCGGTCAATCCTCTCTGAACTCACAAAATATGACAAAATGAAACAAGATATTCGATCCAAGTCTCGTAAGTCTGCTATAAGCGAGGATGAGAAAAAAAAGTACATAGAACAGGGGGTACAAAAAGCCCGGCAAGCCTTTATAACGAACACCAAAAATATAACAGACGATTTACATTAAACTGTTTCGTTGAGGTCAACGTGACATAGTGTCATAGATAAAACGAACTACTTGATGGATGGCCCCGGCAGAGGATTTGTAAGAGAAGAATTATTGATCGTGCCGTATGACACAATGCTACCTCCCGTCAACACGACATAGAGGTAAGATACCAACGCCCGCTATAGTAGCGTCCCCGACTAAAGTCTTATTTTATGGAATAAAGCTTTTGTAGTAGATGGTAATGGGAAGGGTCCGACTAAGGCTTCATTTAATAGATGAAGCTTTAGATTACCCTGGTCCAAAACCCCTACTCTGTCTACTACTACTTCTGCAATCATCAAATGCAAGCATCTTAAAACATTTATTAGCATATATGTAAGTAGTATGCTTGATGGGGGGACGAATGCAGGGTACCCTAATGGTTTATTTTGGGTTAATTCCGCTCCCAGCGTACGGGATCACCCTCAATGAAACGTCGCTGTCGCCCATGGATACCAAACGACGGATCGCCATCGATGCTGTCACGACTTACGCGTATGAACACTGATGTAGTCAATAGAAGGAGGAGATAGTGAACATCGAAAGATGTCTCCCGCTCAGGGATCATCATTTTTACTGGACGCTGGGAGCGGAATTAACCCAAAATAAAACATTAGGGTACCCTGTATTCGTCCCCCCATTATGCATACTACTATATATCAAGCTATGTTACTGAGATAGTCTTCACTGTAACATACTTTCCCACTCTGTAATCTTCAATGTGTAACTTGGGCCTATAGCATGCATTACTTTTCTGAAATACACCACCACCACACAGTAAGCTTAGCCGCTGCTGCAGCCGGGTGAGACTAATCATCACCATCTCTATGGCAATAACCACAACTTTAATTTAATATCACCCTTGTATTTTGTGCTTCCATTGAATGTGTACTGTAATTCTTTGTAATCAGTTTGTAGTAATGTGTACAGATTTGTAAATGTAGCTTCCTTTAGAATACAGTTTTGAATTTTTTAACTTTTCCGTGTCGTTTGTCGGTTTCACTGACAGATTCCCGCTTAACATATTCCTTCATGTTGGAAATGGTCCCATATCAGTAAAGAGTTTGTTACCATATCATGCTACCTTGGGTAAATAATCATCAAATCCTGTAAGTTTGTTGTCCAAAAGAAGTTTCAACTGAGAAATTGTAACACATTGGAATCTGTTCAACTGTGGTTTCCAACTGTAAACATATACAGGTAGACTACATAGTCTGTGTGTAGAGCAGATTCTGTATACTGTCGTTATGTAGAAATTTGTTCGTATCAGAAATGTATCTATGTTGATATATGCATTCATTCAGTCTGAGATTTAAATATTGCAAGATGAAAACGATGTCATACACCTGTATCTGTGTACCTGTTGTCATGTTACAGAAGTACCCAGTGTACCCGTCTGTACACCCGAGTGTACATCCCCCGTTGGGTTGATTGCACGTGGTGTTGATACAGTTCTGGCTACAGAGTTGATCACAGTGGTCACCATGCCGACCACGAACACATCCTTCTAAACACTTCCCAGTATCTTTGTCACACGGTGGAAGGTTTCTGCGAGGGTGAAGTCTACAGTGATGTGAACATAGTTTGTCACAGTTCGGTCCATACCTGCCCCACTGGCACACTGCGACACCATCAACTGTGGAAACTGAAACAAAAACCCAATTGACGTTCATGTGGACAATGCTACCATAGGTTAAGGTGGAGGTGGTGGTGGGACAGTTACAGGAGGACAATGCTACCATAGGTTATGGTGGAGGTGGTGGTGGGACAGCTACATTAGGACAGTGCTACCATAGGTTATGGTGGAGGTGGTGGTGGGACAGCTACAGGAGGACAATGCTACCATAGGTTATGGTGGAGGTGGTGGTGGGACAGCTACAGGGGGACAATGCTACCATAGGTTATGGTGGAGGTGGTGGTGGGACAGCTACAGGAGGACAATGCTACCGTAGGTTATGGTGGAGGTGGTGGTGAGACAGCTACAGGAGGACAATGCTACCATAGGTTATGGTGGAGGTGGTGGTGGGACAGCTACAGGAGGACAATGCTACCATAGGTTATGGTGGAGGTGGTGGTGGGACAGCTACAGGAGGACAATGCTACCCTCGGTTATGGTGGAGGTGGTGGTGAGACAGCTACAGGAGGACAATGCTACCATAGGTTATGGTGGAGGTGGTGGTGGGACAGCTACAGGAGGACAATGCTACCATAGGTTATGGTGGAGGTGGTGGTGGGACAGCTACAGGAGGACAATGCTACCCTCGGTTATGGTGGAGGTGGTGGTGAGACAGCTACAGGAGGACAATGCTACCATAGGTTATGGTGGAGGTGGTGGTGGGACAGCTACAGGAGGACAATGCTACCATAGGTTATGGTGGAGGTGGTGGTGGGACAGCTACAGGAGGACAGTGCTACCATAGGTTATGGTGGAGGTGGTGGTGGGACAGCTACAGGAGGGCAATGCTACCCTAGGTTATGGTGGAGGTGGTGGTGGGACAGCTACAGGGGGACAATGCTACCATAGGTTATGGTGGAGGTGGTGGTGGGACAGCTACAGGAGGACAATGCTACCATAGGTTATGGTGGAGGTGGTGGTGAGACAGCTACAGGAGGACAATGCTACCCTAGGTTATGGTGGAGGTGGTGGTGGGACAGCTACAGGAGGACAATGCTACCATAGGTTATGGTGGAGGTGGTGGTGAGACAGCTACAGGAGGACAATGCTACCATAGGTTATGTAGGAGGTGGTGGTGGGACACCTACAGGGGGACAATGCTACCCTAGGTTATGGTGGAGGTGGTGGTGGGACAGCTACAGGAGGACAATGCTACCATAGGTTATGGTGGTGGAGGTGGTGGTGGGACAGCTACAGGAGGACAATGCTACCATAGGTTATGGTGGAGGTGGTGGTGGGACAGCTACAGGAGGACAATGCTACCATAGGTTATGGTGGAGGTGGTGGTGGGACAGCTACAGGGGGACAATGCTACCCTAGGTTATGGTGGAGGTGGTGGTGGGACAGCTACAGGGGGACAATGCTACACTAGGTTATGGTGGAGGTGGTGGTGAGACAGCTACAGGAGGACAATGCTACCATAGGTTATGGTGGAGGTGGTGGTGAGACAGCTACAGGAGGACAATGCTACCATAGGTTATGGTGGAGGTGGTGGTGGGACAGCTACAGGGGGACAATGCTACCCTAGGTTATGGTGGAGGTGGTGGTGGGACAGCTACAGGGGGACAATGCTACCATAGGTTAAGGTGGAGGTGGTGGTGGGACAGCTACAGGGGCACCTGTTGTACAAGACGGACATCTTTAATCTACTATCCAGTCAACGCTACATGTAAAACTCCAGTTACCACTTTCAACATTACGAGTCGGTTATGAAGCTTGTTATGCATTTTTAAATTACAAAATATGAATTAAATATTTTTCAAATAACCAATAATGTAGATAAGTAGAATTTATTCCTCTCCAAGATGTATCTATACTGACATGTAACATTAGTCTAAGATATAAACTTGAAGGATCAAAAGAGTTCATGGAAATACCTATCAGACAGTGTTTCTGCATCTACCTGCGATACATTACGAAACAGTTATGAAAGCTTGTTATGCCTAGCTAAAATAACAAAAAATAAAATTAATTGTTTTTAACTAACGGTAATGTAGTTTGTTATTTTTCCTATCTGAATGTATAGACACTGACATATTAATTCAGATATGCAAGATGTGATTGAAATACTTATCAGAATGTGTTTCTACACCTGTATCTGTGTACCTGTTGTCATGTTACAGAAGTACCCAGTGTACCCGTCTATACACCCGAGAGTACATTCCCCGTTGGGTTGATTGCACGTGGTGTTGATACAGTTCTGGCTACAGAGTTGATCACAGTGGCCACCATGACGACCACGAACACATCCTTCTAAACACTTTCCAGTATCTTTGTCACACGGTGGAAGGTTTCTGCGAGGGTGAAGTCTGCAGCGATGTGAACATAGTTTGTCGCAGTTTGGTCCATACCTGCCCCACTGGCACACTGGGACACCATCAACTGTGGAAACTGAAGGTTCAACGAGAAACATTATTGTTGCAGCTACCATAGCTAGACGTTTTCATGATATCTGTCAGTGGTAAGTAGATGGTATTTGAAGGCAGGTTTGAATAATCAATACCAGCTATATGCAGGGTATTAGTGATGGGAATTGGTAAAATCTCACAACTGATAATTGGTTCATTACAACCGATCAATGATCGAAAATAATTGGTCAGCGTCATTTATCAAATTGCCCTGGTTATGTTTGTTAATGCAAAAAAAATAATGGAAAAAACATGCGGTTCTTTCGGGGCTTTCTTTGCAAATTTCACGTCTTTAAAGGATTACTTGTATGTTAGGAACATAAATTTCCTGGAGTCTTCAAGATAAATTTAATCAAGACTTTGAACGATGACTTATGAAACGTAACATTTAAAACCAACCTTGCGATAAATATTGTTAATGCAAACAAGTGTTCCAAAATTGTTCGTGTTCGATTATGTGATCGATTGCTTGGTTGTTTGGTCACTGCGATCAATCTTCGATTATTTCAATTACTTGGACCACCACTACAGGGTATAAAACTCCCAAGAATTTCAGTCAGAACACAGGGTTGGTTAGATATAAACTTGCTAACCCTGACCAAAACATACCTGCCCTCAAATAATTTAGGGTTGACAAGCGACGTAGTTTATCTTCCAATTGGAAATCATCATTTATTTTTACGAGTGAATTAATAAGGATTTATCATTCTGAAATATGATGAATATCTTCATATGCATGTCTAAATTTTAACCCGACCGTTGGGCAGGTGAATTTGAGAATCTGGCAGTCCGTCTTGAAAATAACCCGTCCCGGGCGGTCGGGCAGGCAGGTATTTCAAACGCTTCTATATGGTATTATACCTAGTTGCTGACCACGTGACTGGTATTTCCACCTACATCAATACACAGGGAGAAAAAAATAAAATTTGAAAGACCCGTTATTGTCTTTATTTATATTGTAGCTTCCGTCACGGCACTTATATATATCAACAAACATTGAGTCAAATACAGGGATCAACATAGAAATGATGTAGTTGTACCTGTGTACTTACGAAATATGAGCAGAAGTGATCCAGACATTAAACGCAAGCACCCTGGTGACAGCTTCTGCAAAATATCCATTCCATATCGTCATCTACTTACTACCAGTATAGAGCAGGGGTATTATGCTTAACAAACAGATCTGGAATCATGAGTAGAAGGGGGACCGTAAATGTCTGAGACTTTATATAAAACTTGAATATTGCCCAGCAGAAGGGGGACCGTAAATGTCTGAGACTTTATATAAAACTTGAATATTGCCCAGCAGAAGGGGGACCGTAAATATCTGAGACTTTATATAAAACTTGAATATTGCCCAGCAGAAGGGGGACCGTAAATATCTAAGACTTTATATAAAACTTGAATATTGCCCAGTAGAAGGCGGACCGTAAATATCTAAGACTTTATATAAAACTTGAATATTGCCCAGTAGAAGGCGGACCGTAAATATCTAAGACTTTATATAAAACTTGAATATTGCCCAGCAGAAGGGGGACCGTAAATATCTAAGACTTTATATAAAACTTGAATATTGCCCAGTAGAAGGCGGACCGTAAATATCTAAGACTTTATATAAAACTTGAATATTGCCCAGTAGAAGGGGGACCGTAAATATCTGAGACTTTATATAAAACTTGAATATTGCCCAGTAGAAGGGGGACCGTAAATATCTAAGACTTTATATAAAACTTGAATATTGCCTAGTGAAGCTACAGACGAAGGACTATGATTAGAAAACAGGAAGTCCAAAGACTTTCCTTACGTTTCAGTTACATGTCAGTTATACCTGTAAGTGGGACAAAGGCGTTTTACACCTGTAGTACTCACGTGAGGAATAGAGCATGAGCTTTCGGTTTTACTTGAGATTACTTTAGCAAGCTACCACCCACATCACTCCTGTTAACGCCACCCCCACCTACTGCCTCCCACCCCACCCGGTTTCCACTGCTACCCTCGACACACGGAGACACACAACATGCTATGTATGCTTGATTGATTCCCAGGTCAGTGTGACCCGACTGTCAGGTACACATTCACAGTACTATGACGCCATGGTTAACACTGTACTTCTCATTGTACAGGTCAGTGTGTAGGACATTTCTTGACTCACCTTAAAATACGTCCTTCCTCTCTGGTTTCCATTCTAATATACCAACACACAGATGTATGTCAGCGTGGATCTGTAGGGACGTTAACATGCTGTATGTTAATAGTGCTACGACGAAACTGTCATAAGTACACTGAGTTGTGTGCTCTGATAACATCAAATGTAATAGGACTATGAAGCCAGCTTACCGTCAACCCAGAACCGACTGTTGTCACCTTTCCCAAGTACCCAGCTAGGGTCCCAAAATACATATTCTCCACAAACCAGCAACCACAACAACCACACTCTACAGCACGACAGAGTCCTCCATTGACATACAACCCGTTTGAGAGGGTCGTGTCACCGCTGTTGTGGTCGTGTGCGGCGTTCTACACGACTGTACACAGTACGTGTCAGAGCTATATATGGACTCAACTAGGCGGTCGATCTGTGGCATCTCGGAATAACAGTCATCAGGGTGATCAGTAATAACACCTTGAATACAAATGATGCTTTAAGTAACAGATTGTTTCTTATATATACAATTAAAACACGTAGGGGATATTTTAAGGTGATATTGTTTTGTTTCTTTGAGTGGCATTCTTGTTGATAGATTGACTTGTCCTTAAATGACGACAGGACGAGTCTCAGCGATGTCACAGTGAAAGAGTGGACGACAGGTTGATAGGTTGACTTGTGCGTCAACGAAGGGAGGACGAGTTTCAGTTAAGACACATTGAAAGATGTGAAAGAGTGGACGACAGGCTGATAGGTTGACTTCTGCTTCAATGAAGGGAGGACGAGTTTCAGTGATGACACAGTGAAAGATGTGAAATAGTTGACGACAGGCTGATAGGTTGACTTGTGCTTAAATGACGACAGGACGAGTCTCAGCGATGTCACAGTGAAACAGTGGACGACAAGCTGATAGGTTGACTTGTGCTTCAACGAAGGGAGGACGAGTTTCAGTTAAGACACATTGAAAGATGTGAAAGAGTGGACGACAGGCTGATAGGTTGACTTCTGCTTCAATGAAGGCAGGACGAGTCTCGGCGATGTCACAGTGAAACAGTGGACGACAAGCTGATAGGTTGACTTGTGCTTCAATGAAGGCAGGACTAGTCTCAGCGATGTCACAGTGAAACAGTGGACGACAGGATGATAGGTTGACTTGTACTTCAATGAAGGCAGGACGAGTCTCGAGGATGTCACAGTGAAAGATCTGAAACAGTGGACGACAAGCTGATAGGTTGACTTGTGCTTCAATGAAGGCAGGACGAGTCTCGGTGATGTCACTTTGAAAGATGTGAAACATTGGATGACAAGATGATAGGTTGACTTGTGCTTCAATGACGGCAGGACGAATCTCGAGGATGTCACAGTGAAAGATCTGAAACAGTGGACGACAAGCTGATAGGTTGACTTGTGCTTCAATGAAGGCAGGACGAGTCTCGAGGATGTCACAGTGAAAGATGTGAACAGTGGATGACAAGCTGATTCCGGTGACTCACGTAAAACGTGACACGTGTGCAGGTGCTTTCAATCGAAGGTACAGTGATGTCAACGGACAGGATGTCTGGGTGAATGAATTGGTAGCTCCCTTATAGCGGTCTCATCTGGAATCACAAAAGGATAAAACTAATGATTTTTTAACTATAAACCTCGTCAATGGGGGACTACACGGGTCACAGACAAGCACACGTCAATATTTGCTTGTGAAGCGAGTTGAAAATATCACATGCCATGAAATGAAAGTAGATTATGTACTTGGAAGTACGGGTAGGATGAATGATGCGAGGTTTCATAGCTGATTTCACGGAAATATTTGTGCTTTGATGGGTAATGTCCGACGCACCCCAGGTTCGCTGTTGAGTTGTATTTTGAAGTGAGGAAACTGAAGGTCGACATTAGAGAACGAAACCTGTGAATCACACCGGAAGTACATCAGTGATGACACTGGCTACACCACGACACAGGCGGTCCAGACGCAGCTCAGTTGACAGGGTTGCAAACCTGCACATACAGTGGTTCTTGTCATATACGTCTACTTGTCGTTCACACTCACTCCAAATACAACTCGAATGGTAGGAAATGTGTCTGCGCGTGTCTAACGGATGCGCCTATGGTATGTAAAGGTAGATCATGCGTCTGTCATGTGTCAGCGTAGGTCATGCGTATGTCGTGTCTATAACGGAATGCGTTTATAGTATGTAGAGGTAGGTTATGCATCTGTCGTTTCTGATGGAATGCGTTTATGGTATGTAAAGGTAGGCCATGCGTCTGTCGTGTCTAACGGAATGCTTTGTTTGAGTGGCATGCGTCTGTCGTGTCTGACGGAATGCGTTTATGGTATGTAAAGGTATGTCATGTATCTGTCGTGTGTAAAGGTAGGTCATGCCTCGTGTGTAAATGTAGGTTATGCGTGTGTCTTGTGTGACGTAATGCGTTTTATGTTTGTAAAGGTAGGCCATGCGCTTGTCGTGTGTAAAGGTGGGCAATGCGTATGTCGCGTGACGGAATTCCTTTTATGGTATGTAAAGGTATAATACGCGTCTGTCGTGTGTAAAAGTAGGTTATGTGGATGTCGTGATTCGTTTGGTTATAAAACCTTTTTAAACATTAGCAACTAGGACTGTATGGTATTACATGTATGCAATTGCCAATACACAGCCCACCAACAGCCAATTAAGTATGCAGTATTACGTGTGGTCTGTAATTTGATGAATGTTTTCATTGTAAATACATTTTTCTGTTACAGATAACAAATGGTTCCCCTTACGTTCCTAGCCGTTGCTTGGATGTTTATCGGTACACAAGGTAAGTGGGAACCTGCTGCCTTTACTGAATTGTCCAATAAACAATACAATACCTGCAACCGTGGGTTCGACAAGGTTCTGTCAGGGTTGTTTGGAGCTGATGACAATGGAGTGAGTGAGTGAGTTTGGATTTACGCTGCACTCAGCAATATTCCAGCTATATGGCCGCGGTCTGTAAATAATAGAGTCTGGACCAGACAATCCAGTGATCAACAGCATGATCTGCGCAATTGGGAACCGATGCCATGTGTCAACCAAGTCAGCGAGCCTGACCACCCGATCCCGTTAGTCGCGTCTTACGACAAGCATGGGTTACTGAAGGCACATTCTAACCGTGACCTTCACGGGTCGCCGACAATGGATTAACAGTTCAATTGTTTAAGAGTACAAATTGTACAAATTCTACAAGTGAAGAGACCCAGCTCATGATCATAAGAAACACTATAAAATAGTGATGAAACCTGCTGCTGATCGTATCCTGGAGAATCATGACCATAAGAAACAACTATAAAATAGTGATGAAACCTGCTGCTGATCGTATCCTGGAGAATCATGATCATAAGAAACAACTATAAAATAGTGATGAAACCTGCTGCTGATCGTATCCTGGAGAATCATGACCATAAGAAACAACTATAAAATAGTGATGAAACCTGCTGCTGATCGTATCCTGGAGAATCATGACCATAAGAAACAACTATAAAATAGTGATGAAACCTGCTGCTGATCGTATCCTGGAGAATCATGATCATAAGAAACAACTATAAAATAGTGATGAAACCTGCTGCTGATCGTATCCTGGAGAATCATGATCATAAGAAACAACTATAAAATAGTGATGAAACCTGCTGCTGATCGTATCCTGGAGAATCATGATCATAAGAAACAACTATAAAATAGTGATGAAACCTGCTGCTGATCGTATCCTGGAGAATCATGATCATAAGAAACAACTATAAAATAGTGATGAAACCTGCTGCTGATCGTATCCTGGAGAATCATGATCATAAGAAACAACTATAAAATAGTGATGAAACCTGCTGCTGATCGTATCCTGGAGAATCATGATCATAAGAAACAACTATAAAATAGTGATGAAACCTGCTGCTGATCGTATCCTGGAGAATCATGATCATAAGAAACAACTATAAAATAGTGATGAAACCTGCTGCTGATCGTATCCTGGAGAATCATGATCATAAGAAACAACTATAAAATAGTGATGAAACCTGCTGCTGATCGTATCCTGGAGAATCATGATCATAAGAAACAACTATAAAATAGTGATGAAACCTGCTGCTGATCGTATCCTGGAGAATCATGACCATAAGAAACAACTATAAAATAGTGATGAAACCTGCTGCTGATCGTATCCTGGAGAATCATGATCATAAGAAACAACTATAAAATAGTGATGAAACCTGCTGCTGATCGTATCCTGGAGAATCATGACCATAAGAAACAACTATAAAATAGTGATGAAACCTGCTGCTGATCGTATCCTGGAGAATCATGACCATAAGAAACAACTATAAAATAGTGATGAAACCTGCTGCTGATCGTATCCTGGAGAATCATGATCATAAGAAACAACTATAAAGTAGTGATGAAACCTGCTGCTGATCGTATCCTGGAGTATCATGACCATAAGAAACAACTATAAAGTAGTGATGAAACCTGCTGCTGATCGTATCCTGGAGAATCATGATCATAAGAAACACTATAAAATAGTGATGAAACCTGCTGCTGATCGTATCCTGGAGTGCCGGGATCATAAGAAACAACTATAAAATAGTGATGAAACCTGCTGCTGATCGTATCCTGGAGTATCATGACCATAAGAAACAACTATAAAGTAGTGATGAAACCTGCTGCTGATCGTATCCTGGAGAATCATGATCATAAGAAACACTATAAAGTAGTGATGAAACCTGCTGCTGATCGTATCCTGGAGTGCCGGGGTCACAAATACACGCAAGGTCAAATACTTACCTAACCAAGACATGTGTGTATAGAACAGTTCAATGTGGTAGCGATTCCCAAATATTTGGCAAAACACTCACGAGGCGATAACTGTACATAAAAGCTGATATACCATATCAGGTCAGTTGGGACAGGTGCACGTGTCATGTAGGGCAAGCATTCTTTGGAATTAATGGCTGGTTGCTGACCATAGGTATGTGTAATATTTATCCAAAACGAAATAGGTACTTTGAAAAGAAAATATATTCTTCCAGCTATCACCTGCTCTGACTATCAGCACTGTTCCGACTGTGACGAGAAGACTGGAGAATGTGTCAAGTGTAACGATGGCTACTGGGACAAACTGTGCAGTTTGAAGTGCAGCAGTGGTTGTCGAAACAATACATGTGAGATGACAACAGACGGGATCGAGGGGTGTACTGCTGGCTGTGTGGCAGGCTTCCAAGGCACAAGCTGCAGCGTACGGTGTGATCCTCCTGCTGGTAATTGTACACAATGTCCTGGTGGATGTGAAGAAGGATTCTACCAGATGGACTCCTCCTGTGTGTCAGGATGTGTGGACTCGTACTACGGTTCTGACTGTCGGCCGTGCTCCAGCAGGTGTCCGTCCTGCAACAGGACTACAGGAGCATGTGAGGAGTGTCACCATCCCTACGTTGGTGGAGGCTGTCAGTATTCCTGTACAAACTGTTCAGGTAGCTGTGAGAGTGAATGTGTCAAGGAGTGTTCGTCTCGATATCCCCAAATGTTCTGTATTGAGCCATGCAGTGAACACTGTGTGTCAGTGGTCAACACATGTCCTCTGAATTGCACGGATGTAGAGATTGTCAGGTATTGTACATCACCTTTCCGTAACCATAGCAACGGATGTACACGTGGCTGAGTTTGATGGGTGGTACGGATCCTGGTGTTCATCTCGATGATAGGCTGGCTGTATCAACAAAAGGTGCTTGCGTGCACGGATGTCAGGATGGATATTTCGGGACAACCTGTAAAGCATGTTCTGAGACGTGCTTCAATCACACCTGTGACTCAAACACCGGATCCTGCACACATGGATGTAGCCAGGGCTGGTATGGAGGAGTGTGTGACTGGCACGTGTATCGAGGGATGCACCATCAGAGGGTGTGAATCTTCCTGTACCAGCAACTGCACCATCGAGGAATGCCGTGCAGCTGAATCCTGTAAATCAGGTGAATTTAATATCTAACGCAAGGGCAAAAGGGGTATTTCTTGAGTTTTGACTTACTCTCCATGTTGGTCCTTTGAAATGGGGCGGTGGGGTAGTCTAGTGGTTAGAACACCCGCTCATCACGCTGAAGACCCGGGTTTGATTTCCCACATGGGTACAATGTGTGAAGCCTATTTCTGGTGTCCCCTGCCGTGATATTGATGAATATTGCTAAAAGCGGCGAAAACCAAACTCACTCTCACTCACTCACTTACTCCTTTGAAATGAAAGCAGGTAACATGGATCGGTTCATATGACGTTAAGGTGTAGATCACATGATGTTAAGGTGTAGATCACATGACCTTAAGGTGTAGATCACGTGACGTTAAGGTGTAGATCACATGACCTTAAGGTGTAGATCACGTGACGTTAAGGTGTAGATCACATGACGTTAAGGTGTAGATCACATGACGTTAAGGTGTAGATCACATGACGTTAAGGTGTAGATCACATGACCTTAAGGTGTAGATCACGTGACGTTAAGGTGTAGATCACATGACGTTAAGGTGTAGATCACATGACGTTAAGGTGTAGATCACATGACCTTAAGGTGTAGATCACGTGACGTTAAGGTGTAGATCACGTGACGTTAAGGTGTAGATCACATTACCTTAAGGTGTAGATTGTGACCACACCTGATGCAGTACATTGTTAGTTATGTTGTTGCCCCTATGACGTCATGGTGAGATGGACTACACGTATGGTGAGCCCCATACCACGATTTGTTGCAAGACAAACATACTTCCATGAACAAACACATTATTTTAGGACTGATTTGATCATGTGGAATCCTAGTTTAAAATAATTATTTTAGTATACCTTAAATGTCACTTGATACAGACAAACATACAGACAGACAGATGCACATATAAGAAGTAGCTGTATCATATGTTTGCTTTCATATGTTTCAAAGTTCCGAAGACAAACAGCATCATCATCATCGGAATCCTTGGAGTCATCATCGGCATCCTTGCTGCAGCCATGTTCTGTACAGCACTGACACGGTGTGTCGTAGACACATTGCCGGACAGAGGTCAGTATTTGTAGAATTCAGTGTGATAGTTACGAGCTGGAACAGTTGATACAATTGAGTAAGAGCAAATGCAGATTAGCCTGTTTAAATGTACAGGTCACTTAGTTTCATAATGAAAAGACAGCAAGTGTATCACCTAACTATCTTGTAAATATTTTCTGAACAGCATCGTATTAATGTTGTACAACAAAATGTTGTTTCACCAAGATAATTTGGCATTGCCTATTTACCTGAACAATACATCTCCTGTAAGAGCCATCACTATCAGCTACTGATTTGTCATGCCCTTTTTGTTTAGATACTATGTGTATTGAACTGGGAACTATCCATTTATTGTAAAACATGTACCGGTGAACAGAAATAAAGCTATAAAAAGTTAATTGGGCAGTTGTATAAGAATATGTAGCATATATCCGTTTTGACATCTTAGCATGTTTCAAGTATAACAACAGTAAAACCCAGCTGTTGAAACTGTTGTCGTTTATCCCCGCGTCTGGAATGACGCCACAGACGTTCACGTCTCTGTGATGTCCTGTACATTATCGTCTCCCTGATGTCCTGTACATTAACGTCTCCCTGATGTCCTGTACATTAACGACTCTCTGATGTCCTGTACATTAACGTCTCTCTGATGTCCTGTACAATAACGTCTCCCTGATGTCCTGTACATTAACGTCTCCCTGATGTCCTTTACATTAACGTCTCTCTGATGTCCTGTACATTAACGTCTCCCTGATGTCCTTTACATTAACGTCTCTCTGATGTCCTATACATTAACGTCTCCCTGATGTCCTGTAAATTTAACGTCTCCCTGATGTCCTGTACATTAACGTCTCTCTGATGTCCTGTACAATAACGTCTCCTGATGTCCTGATGTCCTGTACATTAACGTCTCCCTGATGTCATATACATTAACGTCTCTCTGATGTCCTGTACATTAACGTCTCCCTGATGTCCTTTACATTAACGTCTCTCTGATGTCCTGTACATTAACGTCTCCCTGATGTCCTTTACATTAACGTCTCTCTGATGTCCTATACATTAACGTCTCCCTGATGTCCTGTAAATTTAACGTCTCCCTGATATCCTGTACATTAACGTCTCTCTGATGTCCTGTACAATAACGTCTCCCTGATGTCCTGTACATTAACGTCTCCCTGATGTCATATACATTAACGTCTCTCTGATGTCCTGTACATTAACGTCTCCCTGATGTCCTTTACATTAACGTCTCTCTGATGTCCTATACATTAACATCTCCCTAATGTCCTGTACAATAACGTCTCCCTGATGTGCTGTACATTAACGTCTCCCTGATGTCCTGTACATTAACGTCTCCCTGATGTCCTGTACATTAACGTCTCCCTGATGTCCTATACATTAACGTCTCCCTGATGTCCTGTACATTAACGTCTCCCTGATGTCCTATACATTAACGTCTCCCTGATGTCCTGTACATTAACGTCTCCCTGATGTCCTTTACATTAACGTCTCCCTGATGTCCTATACATTAACGTCTCTCTGATGTCCTGTACATTAACGTCTCCCTGATGTCCTGTACATTAACGTCTCCCTGATGTCCTTACATTAACGTCTCCCTGATGTCCTATACATTAACGTCTCTGATGTCCTGATGTCCTGTACATTAACGTCTCCCTGATGTCCTTTACATTAACGTCTCCCTGATGTCCTATACATTAACGTCTCTCTGATGTCCTGTACATTAACGTCTCCCTGATGTCCTGTACATTAACGTCTCCCTGATGTCCTGTACATTAACGTCTCCCTGATGTCCTGTACATTAACGTCTCCCTGATGTCCTGTACATTAACGTCTCCCTGATGTCCTGTACATTAACGTCTCCCTGATGTCCTGTACATTAACGTCTCCCTCATGTCCTATTCATTAATGTCTCCCTGATGTCCTATACATTAACATCTCCCTGATGTCCTGTAAATTTAACGTCTCCCTGATGTCCTGTACATTAACGTCTCCCTGATGTCTCATACATTAACGTCTCTCTGATGTCCTATACATTAACGTCTCCCTGATGTCCTGTACATTTACGTCTCCCTCATGTCCTATTCATTAATGTCTCCCTGATGTTCTATACATTAACGTCCCCCTCATGTCCTGTACATAACTGCACAATACCATCATAGTTACTGTAAGCGAACCGTCTGTAATTGGGAGAACTATAGAATACCAGTGTGTTTTTTTGCTTGTTGTTTAACGCCGCACTCAGCAAAATTCGAGCTGTATGGCATCGGTCTGTAAATAATCGATTCTGGGCCAGACAATCCAGTGATCAACATCATGAGCATCGATCTACGTAATTGAGATCCGATAACATGTGTCAACCAGGTCAGCGAGCCTGACCACCCGATCCCGTTATCGCCTGGGTTACTGAAGATCAATTCTAGTCCGGATCTTCAAGGGTAGCAGAAAAAACGCTATCCAGAAAGGTTTATTTCCCAAACATATATTATATGCAGAGTTTATTATACTCGGAATATCTATTCCAAAAAACTATTTGTTGTAATGTCTTCAACGTGAATTTAGGATGCATTGTTACTTGTCACGGGGAGCTGCAACATACATGATTCAATTTTGAAACATTTGAGTAGATTGAACTTCTGACCATGACCTTGACCTTAAGACACCGACTGACAGCAGCAATCTTGGAAGAACTGTCCTACTAATCACTTCATATCAAAGTATTTACATTGTCGTTTCTGTGTTGGGAAATACCGCCGTTTACAATCGCAAATCGTCTCCTAGCAACACAAAAGAAACACGAACGCATTACACGCCACCGTGATAGAGTGTCAGAGTACACTGTCGACTTCATCCATGTTTGTATTTACAATAATATTGTTTCTTCAATGTAAACATGTCGACCTCATCCATGTTTGTATTTACAATAATATTGTTTCTTCAGTGTAAACATGTCGACCTCATCCATGTTTGTATTTACAATAATATTGTTTCTTCAGTGTAAACATGTCGACCTCATCCATGTTTGTATTTACAATAATATTGTTTCTTCAGTGTAAACATGTCGACCTGATCCGTGTTTGTATTTACAATAATATTGTTTCTTCAGTGTAAACATGTCGACCTCATCCATGTTTGTATTTACAATGAGATTGTTTCTTCAGGCGAGGCCAGCTGGCGGCTGGGATGTCCAGTGATCTTGGTCAAGTGTCACAGGCGACAATGGGGTACCGGGATCTACACAGATATTATGAACTTCACGATGAAGACTTGAACCCGGGGCTTCCCGTGTCCCTGGCTACACACGAGTACCAGGTAGTACACAGATATTATGAACTTCACGATGAAGACATATACCCGGAGCTACCCACCAGCAGCACAAACAACATGGTGGACATGGACAATGGGGAGAAAATGAGGGAAGGGAGAAAGAAGGAGGAAGAAAAGGAAGTGTCAGAGGTGGGGGAGGTGGGGGAGGAAGAGAGTGAACCAGCAGCAACTGCGACTGCCGAGTACTTCCTGGTGTCCAGTGATGTGGAGGGAGAGAAAGGAGAGAGTAGGGGGGAGAGGAAAGGGAAGAGGAAGAGGATTAGGGAAAGGGAGAGGAAGAGGATGAGGAAGGGGGTTGGGAGAGAGATGGAACCTGCCATACCTGCTCTGGCCGAGTGCTTCCCGGTGTCCAGTGATGTTGAGGAAGAGGATTCTACATCCGGGGCTTCTGCTGAAGACACATCCTACACTCGAATGCTGAGGGATGTGTTTGCTGATGACCCGACGACAGTTGTGACATATCTGACACCAAGAGAGGAGAGGATGGGGAAAGGGGAGAGTAAGGGGATGGGGAAAGAGGATGAAGAGGGAGTGTCAAAGGTGGAGGAGGAAGAGAGTGAACCAGCAGCAACTGCGACTGCCGAGTATTTCCTGATATGGAGGAAGAGAAATGAGAGAGTCGGGAGGAGGGGAAAGGGGAGAGGCGGAGGGTGGGGAAAGAGATGGAGTCATACCTACACTGGCCGAGTGCTCCCCGGTGTCCAGTGATGTAAAGGAGGATTCTATATCCGGGTCTTTTGCTGAAGACGACACATCCTAGCTACACTCGAATCCTGAGGGATGTGTTTGTTCACGACCCGACGACAGTTGGGACATATCTGACACCTAGCGAGGACTCACAATAAGTACTCGTGATTTTATACTATTCAAAGCCAGTTTAGTGTTCTGCAGATACGCACGCACGCACGCACATATATGCTTAGACTTAAGCTTTAGGAGCAGTGGTTTAAAATACGTTTTAGTTGGTGGTCGTATACGTGTGGCAGACTCAAATAGGTGTATATATGAGTACGAGAGTGGCGTCGGAGCGGTGAACGTCACGCCCTGTGCTGGAAGGGTGCGAGCATGGCGTCGGAGCGGTGAACGACACGCCAAGTGCTGGAAGAGTGCGAGCATGGCGTCGGAGCAGTGAACGTCATGCCAAGTGCTGGAAGAGTGCGAGCGGGGAGTCACGCCCTGTGCTGCGTACAGGAAGTTGATCGATTTCGTTGGGCTAGTGTAGTGGTTTGGAGAGCTTCCTGAGGGAACACACTCTCACGTCGTCTCGTAACTCGTGGGAACCTCAATGGAGCGGGCGGTCCTTCTTTCAGAGCTGGTGCCGGTCAACCTGACCATGGCCTCTGTCTCCTTCTCCAACATGACAATGACACCACACACGACGTTGCCTGCAACATGCCGGTATTGACGCCATTGACGGGCCGTCAAGATCACCTGACCTCAATCCCATCCAACACGAATGAGATGCTCTTGGAAGATGTCTTCGTGCCTTGAGACGCCAACCCCAGAATGTTCCACAGCTGGGCACCCTGTTGGTACAGTTATGACGTAGGCTGCCTAGTGCTGTGTTCACGGGTGTCAGGCAGTCAGTGTAACAGAGAGAGCGTGGGGAGGGGCATGTATACTGAACAAGCTCCAATACAGATGGCTAGTCCCCTTGAAATCACAATGTGATTCAAGCGCGTCTTAAAGTCTGATCATGTTAAGTGTACGCACATTACGACCATAAACCTGATTTATCCACTAACAACACACTTTTGGAATGTTTTGATTTGAGTGGCTAGCGCACCTTCACTTTTAAACATCATTTTCTATTATATCACTCATGCATGTATATATATTGTTTTCTGCTTACTCAGTTATTCAATGTGCAGATTTGTAGATTTATGATTGGGTACAAATACCGTGTGTTATCAGCTAGAGTTTCACCAATCTGGTACATGTGTATGTAGTTCCAGAGCAGATGCATTATATGTGTTTTACCTGAAGTAAAAGATAAGTACAGTATGTTTTAACTATGTTAATATTTTGCAGCGCTGTAACTGTAGTTCACGTGTAATAACTTAAACATGTGTACATATGTACTAGATTCTATTTTACATTTCCTTATGATCTTTCAGCCTGTCACACATACAAGCTTATGTAAATAAATGTTCAGCCTAAACCCCCACAGACGTTAGTGTTCAGTCGGATACAGCAGACATAACGCTGTTGTACTGGGCCCAACTTGGGGCTGATCATGTATCAAATGTGAGTGAAATAAGTCCCAGTACCCTTCTATGCAGTGTGCCTGCTCTTGGCGGAGGAGCAGGTGGCAGGGCGTTGAGTGATTCTACAGATGAGGTCTGTGTCAGATTGTTGACGGGAGTTAACCTCTTTGGACATGTCGACAAGGCGTCTGACTGCGGATCAGAAGGTATGTGGTTCGACTCCCAGCAGGGCACATATTGTGGTCCTCCCTGTTTCATGATCCTACAATCTGCGTTCAGATAGACTTGGATGTTCTCGTCATGTTCAGGTTCCCTGACAATACTGACTATATCACCTCATCTCTATAAACACCAACCTTAGGTTACAGGACAGGGGAACACATGTATGCACGTGTAAAGTACTTTAATATTTAAGGGCCGTTAATATGGCGTTAGCTTTTGCTGTGAAAATAGAGCCGTTATTTGGTAGTCGAGAAGATATTGTTCTGGATCCAATGATAGTGGCACATGCCACTGCGCCACCATCCTTGGACCCATCTGTAAGTAAGGATTTGTATGTATCATATCTATTTTTTAATTGATTATATTCCTGTTTATATTGTAATTCATTAGTGTCTGATTTCTTATATTTTGTCAGTGCTAGATCAACTTCAGGCCTCACCAGTTGCCAAGGACGAGAAGAAAGAAGACGGACGGCAGAAGAAATGAATGGTTTAATTCTTAGGACAAGTGGCGGAAAAAGACAAGATTGTTTGTTATACAAATCCTTATAGAGGGGATTAAAAACACAGTTAAATGCAGGATTAGACTCGTTAGAATAGAGTTTTGTTATATACTGTAATGATAACTTCATACGGCGGTGTGTAAGAGAAGGCTCATCTGCCTCGACATAGAGGCTGTCAGAAGGAGGGGTTCTAAAGGACCCAAGACAAAGTCTAAGGCTTTGGTGGTGGACCAAATCAAGTAGTTTGAGGTTGCTTACACAGGCTCCACCATACACGATGGAGCCATATTCAAGTTTCGAGCAGACCAATGATCGATATAAGTGGAGGAGGGTAGCTTGATCCCCTCCCCACTTTGAGTTGGAAACAACTTTCAACAAATCGAGTGCCTTCAGGCATTATGCTTTAAGGGATTTAATATGCGGCAAAAACGTTAATTGGGAGTCGAAAATTAGACCCAGGAACTTGGCCTTCTTTACAACCTTGATGGGATGTCCCAAGACACAGGGGCGCAACCCACGCCAAACGGGTTGGTGGACCAAATATACCCCCGGGTCCACACCGGGGATCGAAGAGATCTTAGCGTTACCAAGCACCCAACACGAGGAGGTGGCTCTTCACGGGTGCCCATAAGTTATCGACAAGGGCACATATGTATGCACATGTAATCTACTTATATATCACCACATCTCTATAAACGCCAACCTAAGGTTGCAGAACAAGAGCACACGTGTATGCACATGTAATCTACTTAAATATCACCTCATCTCTATAAACACCAACCTTAGGTTATAGGACATCAGCAGGGGAACACATATGTATGCACGTGTAATCTACTTAAATATCTCCACATCTCTATAAACGCCAGCCTCAGACTACAGGACAGGGGGACGCATTTATTCACGTGTAGAGTACATAAATATCAACTCATCCCTCTAAACGCCAACCTTAGGTTACAGGACAGGGAAACGCTTTTATTCACGTGTAAAGTACTTAAATATCACCTTATCTCTCTAAACGCCAACCTCAGGTTATAGGACAGGGGCACACATGTATGTACGTGTAAAGTACTGAAATAACACCACATCTCTATCAACGCCAACCTTTGGTTACAGGACAGGGGCACACGTGTATGCACAAGTAATCTACTTAAATACCACCTCATCTCTTTAAAAGCCTGCAATAAGTTATAGACAGGGGCACATATGTATGCACATGTAATCTACTAAAATATCATCAAATCTCTATAAACGCCAACCTCAGGTTACAGGACAGGGGCACATATGTATGTACGTGTAAAGTACTGAAATAACACCACATCTCTATCAACGCCAACCTTTGGTTACAGGACAGAGGAACACAAATGGATGCACGTGTAAAGTACTTAAGTATCACCTCATCTCTATTAACGCAAAACTTAGGTTACAGGACAGGGGAACAGACGTATGTACGTGTAAAGTTTAGTTTAAACATACTTTATTCACAGTGTGAAAAGGATCGGGGACAAGTTCTTTCAACTTATTAAACCCCTCTCAAAGATATTTACAATAACTAATTACATCACAAGCAATTATTAGAAACAGAGACAGAGAAAGACTGAAAGAGAACAGAGGGAAATGTTAGAATACAAAAGGTGTATAGAGAGAAGTCTACTGGAATCGTTTAGATTTGCATATATACTGATGTACATTTTTAAATATAATTTCATTTTTATGATTTGTCAGATCTGCAATGCGGTTTAAAACAATAGATAATGTAATCACAGAATTACTACCACATACATCTTGAATAGCTTTAAGCATGATCTTTCTATGTTGATTGTATTAAGAACATTCTAAGAAATAGTGATGAGCATTTTCGCACGGGTTTCCACATGCGCAGGATGGATCAGTGACTAGCCCTACTCTGTACAGATCGTGACTTAATCTACTAGCTCCATGACGTAGTTGAGTATGTAATATGTTAAATTTTCTGATACCGTAAGAAAAGTACAGTGGAGCTGAGTTATGTGATGTTAATATGCTCGATTTAAACTTTGATAGTGAAGTACAGTTTCTTACATCTGTAGATAAATTGTGTATGCACCTGTAAAGTACTTTAATATCACCACATCTCTCAGCGCCAACCTCAGGTTACAGAACAAGGGCACATATGTATGCACATGTAATCTACTTATATATCACCTCATCTTTATAAACACCAACCTTAGGTTACAGAACAGGGGAACACATGTATGCACGTGTAAAATACTTAAATATCACCTTATCTCTATCAACGTCAACCTTGGGGCTACAGAACAAAGGAACATATGTATGAACGTGTAATCTATTTAAATATCACCACATCTCTATAAACGCCAACCTTAGGTTACAGGACAGGGGAACACATGTATGTACGTTTAAAGTACTTAAATATCACCTCATCTCTCTAAACGCCAACCTCAGGTTGCAGAACAAGAGCACACGTGTATGCATGTAATCTACTTAAATATCACCTCATCTCTATAAACGCCAGCCTTAGGTTATAAGACAACTGCAGGGAACACATATGTATGCACGTGTAATCTACTTAGATATCACCACATTAGGTAAGAGATGTGGGGACACATCTATTCACGTGTAGAGTACATAAATATCAACTCATCTCTCTAAACGCCAACCTCAGGTTACAGGACAGGGGCACATATGTATGCACGTGTAATCTACTTAAATATTACCACATCTCTATAAACGCAAAACTTAGGTTACAGGAAAGGGGAACACATGTATGCATGTGTAAAGTACTTACATATCTCCTTATCTCTATCAACGCCAACCTTAGGTTACAGGACAGGGGAACACATGAATGCACATGTAATCTGCTTAAATATCACAACATTTCTTTCAACACCAGCCTTAGGTTACATAACAGGGCACATATGTATGCATGTGTAATCTATTTAAATACCACCTCATCTCTATAAACCCCAACCTCAGGTTACAGAACAAGGGCACATATGTATGCACGTGTAATCTACTTAAGAATCACCTGATCTCTTTAAAAGCCTGCCATAAAAAATAGACAAGGGCACATTTTGTATGCGCCTGTAATTTACTTCAATATCACATCATCTTTATAACAGCCAACCTTAGGTTAGAGAACAGGGGCACACATGTCTGCACCTGTAAGCTACATAAATATCACCTCATCTCTATCAACGCCAAACTTAGGCTACAAGACAGGGGCACATATGTAGGCATGTGTAATCTACTTAAATATCACAACATTTCTATCAACGCCAACCTTAGGTTACAGAAGAAGGGCACATTATGTATGCACGTGTAATCTTAAATTTCATTACATCTCTATAAACGCCACTACATATCTATCAACGCCAACCTCAAGTTACAGAACAAGGGCACATAACTATGCATGTGTAATCTACTTAAATATCACCTTATCTCTTAAAAGGCCTGTCATAAGTTATAGACAGGGGCACGTATGTATGCACATGTAATCTATTTATATATCACCACATCTCTATAAACGCCAACCTCAGGTTGCAGAACAAAGGCACAGGTGTATGCAAGTGAAGTCTACTTAAATATCACCCCATCTCTATAAACGCCGGCCTTAGGTTATAGGACAGGGCACAGATGTATGCACGTTTAATCTACTTAAGTATCACCTCATCTCTATAAACGCCAACCTTAGGTTATAGGACGGGGCACAGATGTATGCACGTGTAATCTACTTAAATGTCACCTCATCTCTGTAAACGCCAGCCTTAGGTTATAGGACGGGGCACAGATGTATGCAAGTGGAATCTACTCAAATATCACCTCATCTCTATAAACGCCAGCCTTAGGTTATAGGACGGGGCACAGATGTATGCACGTGTAATCTACTCAAATATCACCTCATCTCTATAAACGCCAGCCTTGGGTTATAGGACGGGGCACAGATGTATGCACGTGTAATCTACTTAAATATCACCACATCTCTATCAACGCCAACCTTAGGTAAAAGGACAGAGGTACAGATGTATGCACGTGAAATCTACTTCAACATCACCTCATCTCTGTAACCGCAAACCTTAGGCTAGAGAACAGGGGCACACAAACTTTAGTTTACAGAACAGGGCCACATGTATGTGGGGGACGGGAGGAGGAACATTGACAATTCAATCAGCACAATGTCGGGTCAGGAGGAAGAAGAAACTCATGAAACACACTCAGGTTGTGAACCGGAAAAACATATATATCGGAGTATTCGCGCCGTGTACAGATTGAGAGAGAGAGATGGGGGAGAGAGAGAGAGAGAGAGAGAGAGAGAGAGAGAGAGAGGGGGGCTGAGAGAGAGAGAAAGAGAGAGAGGGAGGGAGAGAGAGAGGCTGAGAGAGAGGGATAGAGAGACTGAAAGAGAGAGGCTGAGAGAGATATAGAGAGAGAGGGGGGGAGAGACAGAGGGAGAGAGAGGAGAGAGAAAGAGAGAGAGAGTGTAGACCCTGTAGCTGTCAGGTAGCAGTGTCACTCATTATGGACTGTGTATCACTTATACTTAACAAAAAAACAGAAAACAGTTACTCTATGTCCCAAGCATACCCATATAGACCCATGTGTGATGTAGTGGATAAAGCAGGTTTATGGAAGTAATGAGCGTACACTAAAACAGGATTAGACATTGTGTGCACCCTCCACAGTCAACAGTAGCAGCATGGCGCCCAGCTCTTGAACATTCTGGGATTGGCGTCTCAAGGCACGAAAATAAATTCCAAGAGCATCTCATTCATATGTTCGATGGGAATGAGGTTAGGTGATCTCGATGGCCACTCCATGGCGTCAAAACCCGCGCATTTTGCAGGACATTTAACTATCTGCAGGTGCAGTGGTGCCCATGGTAGACGTTCATTAAGGATTAAAACCTGTGTCAGAATAGGCCCACCATAAGGACGTCCACGAAGATGAGTGGTATGGTCTTGGCAGTTACAAGACCCCTAAACAGTGCGTTACTGGTTGACACTGTCGTCGTAGATGGACCTCGGCATGTAGCCTGGAGCGATCACATGTCGTAGCCGTATGTAGGCCAGCATGCCAGTTGCACGTTCACGTTCAACACTTGCAAGGAGGGGCATGAGAATGGTTTATCTCTCAGGATTGTTAACGTACTGGGGTGGTGGGGTAGCCTAGTGGTTAAAGCGTTGGCTCGTCACGCCGAACACCCTGGTTCGAATCCCCACATGGGTACAATGTGTGAAACCCATTTCTGGTGTCCCCCGCCGTGATGATGCTCAACAAGTATCTCAACATATTCGCCCCTGTCTGATTAATATTCTACATTTCCCGGACCTTTGATACAGCATGTGCAATGATCTATTGTAAGCGCTATTGACGGAGTTTCTAAAGTATCTGACGTCACAGGTATTGTATTACGTTGCTCTATTCATGATTTCCCGAGAAATGGCAACACGTGACTCACTCGCGTCAGGCTGCTTCCCTCCTGTAGTGACGTAACCCAAAGACACAATTGGGTAGAGTGTCTACCGCACTACCCTGGATAGAGGGTCTGTTCCGCACTACCTTGGATAGATGGTCTGTTCACATAATACCTCGGATAGAGGGTCTGTTCCGCACTACCCTGGATAGAGGGTCTGTTCACATAATACTTCGGATAGAGGGTCTGTTCTGCACTACCTTGGATAGACTGTCTGTTCCGAACTATCCTGGATAGAGGGTCTGTTCCGCACTACCTTTGATAGGCGGTCTGTTCCACACTACCCTGGATAGACTGTATGTTCCACAATACCTCGGATAGAGGGTCTGTTACGCACTAACCTGGATAGATGGTCTGTTCCGCACTACCCCGGATAGAGGGCCTGTTCCAGAGAGCTGTAAGTCGTTGGTTCGATCCCCATCATCCGTTATAACATGTTACATAATGTTATCCTGGCTGCTGCCAGGTGCCCGGCACTAGTGAGGGAGTATGTTTTTACGCCGCATTTAGCAATATTCCAGCAATATCACGGCGAGACGAGCGAACGCTTTTACCACTAGGCTACACCCACCCACCCCATCCCAAACCCCAAACCCCAACCCCCGGCACCAGGGGTGTATGGCAAGGACTGGTCCACCCATCACATGTACACTGGGTATGAGTGGGATATCCACCCCGCCATGTTGTGACAGTGGGCTATCACTCCACACCCAGCATTCGCCTGACCTTGTAGTTTGAGAAAATACTTCCTCAACCAGCACGGTCGCCATGGAAACCAAAATGAACTCAAATAGTTGTCCTGCTAGCCACCATACTGAGACACAACTGTTTGGTGTTTGTTCACACGGGCCCTGTGGTTGCTGAAGGGTTGTCAAGGCAACTGTTGAACGATATCTCCCGTTGTACCACCAGTCGGCGCTTGAGCTCTTGATGTGTGCTCGAGTAGGAAGGACTTTAAAGTATTTTACGTGCGGCCCAGGTAACACCACACTCATGTTATTTCTCATCGGATATGAGATGTTTATCTCGACATGACGATAACAAGACACGATATAGCGATAACAAGACACGAAATGGCAACAACTCGACACGACATTGCGATAACACGACACGACATGACGATAACAAGACACGATATAGCGATAACAAGACACGAAATGGCAACAACTCGACACGACATTGCGATAACACGACACGAAATGGCGATAATACGACACGAAATGGCGATAACACGACACAAAATGGCTATAAAAAGAGGCGACATTGCGATATGGCGATAACGCGAAAAGGCGATATTGCGATATGACGACGCGATATGGCGATACAGCGACATTGCGATACGGCGATATGGCGATACAGCGACATTGCGATATGGCGATATGTAGAAAAGCGGGTAAGTTCATTCATTCTTAGGATTCAATAATAAGATAGCGGGAAGTATGTGAGATAAAGATGCACTTGATGCCTGGCATAGATATATAAAGGGATATGTAGTGAATCATATCAACATAAACGACATTGTTATGGAACCTCTCTGGTTAAATCACTAGTTTCGCAACACATATTTGATAATCAATAACTGCTTCAAACAAGGAATTGTTAATATTAAAGACCTTTTTCAATGACTAAGAGGTTCTCTCATTTGCAGAACTTAAAACAAAATTTGATATTAAGGGCACAGTACTTGACATAAATCGTGTCATCGTCAGTATTCCCCCAAAATGGAAAGAAGTCATTCTAACTGCTGGACACCCAAACATAACAAAGGTATCGATAAGTTCCCCTTGGAATGATCTTATTATACCGACTAAAGGATCTAGATCAGTTTACGATAGTCTCATATCGAAATCCAATTTTCCAAACGTATGCGATAAAAGGGAACGTGAAGTAAACGATCATATCGATTGGAAGACCATATTTGTGCAATATAGACTAACCATTAAAGACCCAAAGCTTTTGTATTTTCAATACAAATTTATTCATAAAATATTTATACTTTAAAATGAAACTAGTTGATAATGACATATGTATATCGTGTGACGTAAGTGAGAATATTTATCATGTATATATTGAAAGTCCCATCATTAGATTATTCTGGAAAGAATTCACCGGTTTTGTTAATTGTGTCCTGCACAGAACATTCGTACTCTCAGCTCACGATATACTATTTTGTGCCAATAGCGTCCCCTTGCTCAACCATATGATCATACTAGCCAAGCGCCACATTTTTGTCAGGATATCAAGGGTGTGAAACCAAGTTTCACCACATATAAAGGGTTATTAAAAGATGTATATGACATTGAGAAATATATTGCCAGAAACAATTTCAATATGAATTTATTTGAGAGAAAATGGATTAGGCTCCAAAATGTTCTGTGATTATGACAATGAAATAGTTCTTCTCAAGTGTATCTGCGTTTGTTCCAGTTTTACATATTTATTTCCCAGTAAAATTGAAACAAAGTGACATGCTATTTCTCATAATATACCATTACAAAACTATGTCCACGGATTGTTTCATACAAAGTGTATCCAAGTGAAGTGAATAAAAAAACGTGAAAAAATAGTATGTGAGATAAACGCATTCGTAAAACCGTCCATTCCACTGAAATAGCTCATCCAAAAGCACAATGAGAGATGACTTATTCCAAACTGTGATACTAGTCCATGTCAAGATCCTGAGAATTATGTAGGTTATAAGAGTTCATCAGAATAGATTTGGGTTCTTACGGTGCCTGATCGATCTGCCTAATCTTATGGGAAATCAGTCTCTGAAGTGTCTACTTTTAAGAATGGTGGTTGCTTATAAAGAAAGGAAAATATCATTATAAACGAAAAGTTCTAGAATACTTTTCTTCTTCTATCTATAAATAAGTAAACAATACATTTCATTGCACACCAAAATAATTTCAGTAGGTACAGTGGAAGCTGTATAATCCGACACTCACTGGGACCGGGGGAACATGTCGGATTATACAGCGTATCGGATAATTCACTGTCTCGTTGCTTGAATACTTTTCAAACAGTACCATACATTGTAACTGGCTTCATGAAATTAATGTTTGATAGCTATTTACTCGGTGAATAAAGGGGAAAAAACAAAATCAGTATTTACATACACATGTATCATTGGTATTTATTCTCTTCAGTACAATGTACATACTACCATGCGGACTACCCAATCACAATCATATTCAAACTTTCATGAAAAAATCCTCCATTGTAGCCATTGACAGGTTGATTGGCTATTTTAGTCTAATATGGGGAGAGGATGTCGGATTGTACAGCGTGATAGTGTCATTGATACCAGAGAATGGTGTCGGAGTTCTGAATGTACAGATGTCAGATAATTCAATATTAATATGATGATAATATAGAAGAACGCTGCCGGGGCCCAAAAATATATGTCGGAATACACAGATTGTCGGATAATTCAGAGTCCACTGTATAGTAAATCAATCTCAGATTTTTGACAGTTATTGTTGGCAATTTGGCGGGATGTAGGTTTTAAAGGGGAGTATAGATATGTTCGTGTATTCCTGAGTTAAGTCACCCGTGAAGGTCCGGGATAGAATTGATCTTCAGTAACCCAATCTTGTCTTAAGAGACGACTATCGGGATCGGGTGGTCAGGCTCGCTGGCTTGGGTGACACACGTCATCGGTTCCCATGCTGTTGATCACTGGATTGCCTGGTCCAGACTCGAATATTTACAGACCGCCACCATATAGCTGGAATAGTGCTGAGTGCGGCGTAAAACAAAACTCACTCACTAAGTTAAGTAAAAGTAGTATATCTAAATCTTTACAGTGCAGTTAAAAGCAAATCCATGTGTAGGTCAGCAGCAAATGGCCGGTTGGCCACGGAAGCTTAGTATTGTGGATGAGGTACTGGGTACTGCAGACTGACCATACATGTAGTGTACATACGATACAAAGATGCCTGAAAGTGAGAATGTATGTAGGATTCTGGTTTCAACGGGACTGGACCCTCATAAAACGTCAAGGCAGGGGGACTGATGATCCCCTCTGATATGCTATCTGTGCGTTGCTGCACTATCATGTAATTGCATATTTGACGCCGAATAAAGTGTTGTGGACCCGCTTAGGAACTTCTGTGTTTAAGGAGATAGATAGCCCAACTAAACAGCCCGGGATACAATGTTACACATGATTGGATTAAAGTATTTGATTTCAAAAGTAGGTCAAATTCATTTATTTTTATCAGATTTGTGGAGGCAAGAGCATTAGGATTTTACTGGAAAGATACATGTACTGTCATCTTTTATATCAGTTCAGACTGCACATACTGCAATTTTGAAATATATACCCCCAATGTATTAGGCGCGTTCGCAGCACATGAACCTGCGACCCACTGCATTTTATAGACTGGGTGAAGCACGTGCTTTACATGTGCATTCTAGTATGATCGACTGTTTGAGCTAAAAGTTTTAAAATTGCCCTTAGTTTCAGGTTGTGCTTAATTAACGCTCATGTGTATATTTAGTTACAACACGTATACGCGCTGCAGGTGTTAATAGGGCGTTTAACATGGGCCTTAAAAGACATGTACATCTCAAAACGGCATGGCAGTTTACCCAATTCTAGAAAAAACCGAATAGTACATTTTATTTTTAAAAAAGCAGAACCGTATCTTTTACAAAGTAAGAGTAACACTTTCTCGATTTGGTTGTAGCTCATACGATGGTTTTAAAGATAAGACAATGATAAATTTGTACAATAACGAACTTTTACTTTGTGTTGCATGTATTCAGATTGAATATAATCAGCCAAATGACATGCTAGTAATGACAATTTAAAGAAAACCGGTAAATAAGTCAAACATTTTTACATTTAGTGTAATTTTCAACACTTTTGGATGGAACAGTGATTCCATTCGCCGACGTTGTTCCATTGTGCTTTATTTAGTGGTGATATGACGCCGAAGTTGCTATAAGAGATCTAGTCTTAAATACTAATAACCACTCCACCTTTTAGTGCTTCGTCGATCATGTTTGTTTCTTTCTGTTTGTATTATTCGGTTGTTGCTGCATTTTGATGATTCAGACGATGAGTTACGCAATAGCACCATATTTATGATGGGCATGCATAGAAGATTACTATTGCATAAAATCCATTTGCATACACCGAATATTATCATTACGTGAAATCCCTAGAAAGTTTTTGCTTTCTCACTTAAACTAATACGATACTAATTCAAATACAACATGGACGCATCACACAGATACACATAAGTACATACCACATACACACAAACTCATATAAAGATGAATAAATCGCTTTATCGCCATATCGCTGTTTCGCCATGTCGCTTAACCATTTCGCATTATCGCAATTTCGCTTTATCGCAGTATCGCTATATCGTCATATCGTTATGT